TCCAAGTCGCTGAGAATATGCCCCAGATCTGAATGATCAGCAGGCCGATGGGCTCGGAGAAAGCCTCATGTCCAGCCGACACAACAAGATCAGTGAAGCTTTGCCGGAACACGTTTAGTGCAATACAAGCAGCCGTCTCACAAAACCGAAATGCAGGTTTGCACAGTGAAGCAGCTTGCGGATTGCGTAAGGCTCGAGCTGAGAAAAGCGCGCCGCAAACGCCCGCAGCCACACAGCTGAGCAATATCAGGCGGAACCAGACGTTTGCATGTTTTCGACCACATGTACATCTGAGTTTTGCTTCCGTGTGCAGATCTTCTTGGGTGGTTCCAGACTGAATACCACAATCAACACAAACATCCAACGACCAATCATGTAGCATAACTCGTTCACTGAACGAGGAAGTAAAGTCACAAGTCGTTTTGAAACCGCGGCGGTATGAGGGGCAGAGCTGCTGGGCTCTTCAATGGCCACACATATGTCACACCAAGTGCCAAGGCCCTCGCCAGGCAATGTACTCCTGTCCAGAGGCAGCCCGGGCGTGCTTGTCAAGACTCCGCGAAACGTTGCATGCAGTATTTCCGGGGGTTGTCTGTGTTGTTGTGCATGACTAAAGACTAATGCACGGGTGATGCTTGACCTGAAGTCCAATGCCATAGTCATGCCATAAAACCTCTGCAGCCATATGCGGCAATGGCGGGGGACAAGTATTGCCCCTTACTGCGAGGCACATATGCCACAAAGGGAGAAGCTGAAGCTCCAATGCTCCTCCAGAATTCACCCGCCGCCCAGACACTGAACCAGAGCCATCATGCGGCCTGCGACTTGTTCCCGAAGGGAAACGGGTTGGAGCTGGCATCCACAGTCTCGTTCGGATCCTTAAAAATGATCACCTGGCCATTGATATCCAGTAGTCACAGCAGCAGAGGTCTGCATGCCCTAAACCCTCAACCCTAAACCCCAAAGCCTAAACCTGAAGGGGCGATGCAATCCCGGCCTGCGTTGCTGCCTGGCTGAGGGCTACAAAGCCTGTGCACAGACCTTGCATGCGATTTAGGGCTTAGGGTGTGGGTCCAAACCGGTTTGTTTTTTGCAGGTGGGGTGGCCTATTGACGGATGGCGATTCAAAAGGCCGGCGCACGAGGGGCGCAATCAACATTGGATAAGAGGATCTTGGCTCTCAATCTTCCTCCCCTGCAAAAAGTGAGGCATTCTCTGCTGGGGCCTGGAACCAAGGCTGTCCAAAACACATTGAAGGTACGTCAGTCCAAGCTGGTCAAGCGAATTCTGTATCCGAGTCAGCGGCTTGGATAAAAGGCTTATCAGATCAGCTTGACCGAATCACAACAAATCCGCTGCAACCCAGCCACGCGCCCAAAAGCTGAGCGACCTCAGAACAGCCAGGTGGCATACCACATGCCGTTGCAGCATGTCGCTCAACGTGGTCTCGGTTCTGTCTCGGTTCGGCTAGTCAGCCCCTGAATGCAACGTGTGTGAGCGCGCGAATGGATTGACAAGCGTTCCACGATCAAACGATGCCGTCGGCATCAGAAAGAATAGCTAAGTCAAACACCATGCGTAGGTCATCATGTAGGGCCTGGCATATGGTCACATCAGGACCCGAACATCGATTAGCAGCCACAGAACGACCACACCAAAAAACTACCACACTCAGAAATTCTACCGAATCCGGGAGTGCATCACAAGCGCGAGCGAAATACCCCAGCAAAGCGAAGGAGAAGAAGAACTCCTGCCATTCGAAAATCATGGCGCCTGACGGGGGCAAGCAGGCTCCAGTGCACTGCGGGCGAGGGCAAAATTGGACCTCATGGCTTGACCTGACCTTTCAATACCAGTCTCGCCTGCTTCAGAAGCTCCTTTGGTGACTTTGCGGGTATTGTGCATTCCTTGGATGTCATACCCTTCGCCCTGCATCCTGCCGCGCCTGCTGCGCGCAGGCTTGAAGGTGAGCCCTTCCTGCGTTAGAGATCGTTAGAGTCCGCGAAGCAGGATCTCTTTATGAAGATTAGGCATTCCAGGGGTTTGGATATGCCTCCTGAGTCTCTCTTGATCTTTTGTTGTGCCAAGGGTGAAGGATGTCCGGGCTGAGATTTACCTTCTATTCGCGTACTCTCTGGTAAGGCAACAAAAGCTGGGATGCTCTTTTTGGCCTTCGGAGGGCTGATCACAGAGGTTCAGTCACGTGGAGCTGCAATGCCAGTGGAAAATTGACAGCATCAAATCAGCTTTTGAAAGTGGATCCCTTGGTCCTGCGCGCGCTGGATCCTGGTGAAAAAGACTTCAAGATACAAGGGACAATAACTGCGTAGTCCCTTGGGCCATGCGCAGCGGACGAATGACTGCAACCTGTGCTCGCACTGATCTTGTGCAGGTAGGTACATCCCTCGAGCTCCGTCAAAGCAGAGCAACTTTGGACTGAGTCGCGAGAAATACCTCTGCGTACATTCGCAACTACATATCTCTTGCCCACAGCTGCTGCCAACTTAACATAGCATCCCTGAAAGCACCGAGCCCAAAACAGCGAGCCCGCTTCTTGTTTTGAAGCCACGCGCACGCAAATCCATTTAGGGGCAGTTTGGGGGGAGCTCGTTTCCTTTTGTGAAGGCCTCTTGTTCTTTTGGCGATGGGGGATCTTCTCGCGGCTGGCAGTAGAGGTTGAGTGGTCGAGGAGTGAGTGCGGTCCCTCGTCTGGCTACCTACTGACCTACGTGGAGTCTGCCATTGCAGAGCACCCTGCTGTTCCAGTTTGGGTGATGAACTGCTTCGGGACGGAATAACATCGTACTCCTCTAGGCCACCAATGATACAGATCTTCCTAGCTTCGATTCCAGGGCTCAAAGAAATCAACCACGCAGGCGTTCTTCACCCCAACTACGAACAGCCAAAGCTTTTTCAAAAAGATCCATGCTTGCGCTCGTCTGCTGTCTCACAGCCATCTCTTGCATCCCCACTAAAGCGCAAGAAAAATTCTACAACCGGCTGTAGCTTACATCCGTTAGCCATAATCATATTTGATTGATCCATTGATGAAGATGGTACTGAAAGTTGATAGGTCTCGCTGCAATGTCGCTCTTCGAGCGGCGGTGTGCCGAAACCTGCTGCCTGCTGGCGTCCTGCAGACAGAACGTGCAGATTCGTACAGCATGTCATGTCTCACAGACCCTGCCGCACCTTAAGAACCACATGCAAACGCCATGCAGCATTGGCTGTGGGATTTCGACCGACGCCATTGCCATCTGCTTGCAACAACTCAGCCAAGACAGCAGAGTGGGGCATGCTTATTATTGATCGTATTGATCGCATTGATCCTTTGCGCTTCGCCATCCCAAGGCCTTCAGACTGGGAGATCTCCACCCTCGGTAGACTCCGCCGGCACAGCCTGTGACAACTGCCAAAGACTCATTGACAGCCGTCCACAACTGCACATCTGGTTTCCCACCTTGGAGTTGCTTTGGGAGAAGGAATTGGGAACCGGTGCTGTCCCAAGTGACAACTTACACATGCTCAATGCACTCGATGCCCCAACTCACCTACCATACGAATCACCATCATTGGACCATCATTCCAAGAACCATGCCCATAGTCAGATTCATAGTCGATAGTCCTCCTACTCACCTTCACTACCGCCACTGTCACTGCCATTATCTGTGTCGATATCGACATGGTCGTCGCAGTGACCGTCAATACCATTATCGGCGTCCTGATCAACACCATCGTCGTCCTCATCCTCATTCTCATCATCGCAGAAAAGCCAAAGACAAAATCGTGATAGTTGGAGACATGACAGTTGTCACACTTTAAACTTACAGATGCTACACATAATCATAGCCAAAAGGACGTAACCGCATTCGTATTTGTATCAATCGTATGAGTAGTCTTCGTAGTATAAGTAGATATGAGAAGTGTTCGTAATATTTGTAATATCAGACATGACCCTCAGTATGAAAGAGGAAGCAGAGGAAGAGTGAAACAAATCGGGAAGAAAGGGCATCTTCCCTTTGCCCTCCTTTCTCGGTATCCTTTTCGTCTATCTCCATCGTCTTGCTTTCTGAACTCTTCCCTAAATTTGTTGCCTCGGAATGTGGTGAGCCTATGGGATGAGCAGGAACGATAGGCGGGAGGAGAGAAAGAACACCAGAAAGAAATGCCAGGCTCTCTGGTTTGCTTGTTTTTTGCCTTCATCCGTTTTGTTCTTCCTACCGCCCTTTGTCCTTCTGAGTGATAGAGGAGGGAATATGAAAAGGAAGGGCCAGGAGGAGAGGGGAAGAGAAAGGAAAGGGAGAGAGAAAGGAAAGAACAATGTCAAGCCAAGGGTAACAAGTCGAAAGAGAAGCGGAAGAGGGAATTTGAAGAAGGCGAGAGGGACAGCGACTGAGAGACAATGAAGACGAGGCGGGATGGCGTAAGAGAGAGTGAGGGTCTTCTGCTTCCCCCAAGCTCGCCATTCCTTTCAGAGGACAAGGCGGAAAAACCTTCGGTTCTCTGTTCTTTATGAGAGAGAGAGTGGGAGAGACAAAGAAACAAAGGAGAGAGAAAGTGAAAGAAAAAGAAGAGGAAGAGTGAAGCAAATCGGGAAGCGAGAGCATCTTCCCTCTCCCCTCCTCACAACAACCACAGCAACCGCAACAGCCACAAGAACCGCAACAGCCACAAGAACCACAGCAACCACAACAGCCACAAGAACCACAGCAACCACAACAGCCACAAGAACCACAACAGCCACGACCACCACAACCACACAACAGCGAGAATCCCGCCACCATAGCCCCATGTAGGATCCAGCAGAACCACTCTGCCTACGGTATTTGGCCTGCAACCATGAGGGCCATGTCAGAGGATGCCAGTCAAACCCAGATGTTGGGGGCGAAGGGTCTTTGTATCTGACAGGGCCAGCGTTTCTAACTTCGGCCAGGGGCGCAGCCCGTAAATAAAAGGGAACAAGGGGCAAGCAGCAGGCAATCTACCCTAAACCCTAAACCCTAAACCCTAAACCCTAAACCAGGCCCATCGAGGGGCCATCTGGCCTCCAAGCTTGGCTTCGCCAAGTCTTGTCGGCACAGCGGGCAGTCCCGATTGACTTGCAACCAGTCCTGCCATACAGTGGTCTGGCGCAAGCCGCTGGTTTAGGGTTTAGGGTCTAGGCGGTCTAGGGTTCCATTGTTTCATTGGCTAAGAGCCAGGGATGCAAGAAGAAATGAGGTGCATTGAGGTTCGGAGTCGCTGCTTTGATTTCAAAGCTGCTGGGAAGAGCCCCGACAGCACATCCCAACCTTGAGGCAGGCTTTGTGGAAGTAGTGGTTGCACTTCAAAGTCCTGAAGCACATGAAAGACTCATCCGGCTCATTGAGTCATACATGGCGGCATGTACACCTGTACTGTGACGAGCGTGACTGTTCCTAGCAGGCCGACAATGGCGATATCAGCAGACGTGTTTGCGTCTGCTGGCTTGGCTCCTTGAGATTTCCTCCGGCTCTGCAGTATCGGAGAAGTCCTCAAAGGGGCAGGTATACAGGCTCTTGGTGAGAAGCCAGCCACGAAGGCTGGGAGTGGGGGGGGGGGGGGGGGGGGGGGGGGGGGGACAGCAACATGAGGGCATGCAATCATGTGCACGTTGAGCGTTGGAAGACATCTGACAGCTATGCAATCCTGCCTCCATGTCTGGGTGTTGCTCACATGGTCAAGAATGGCACATGCAATTAGAGACCTTAAGGTCCTCCAGGCAGATTGGACACTGAGGCGAGTCCGCCAGTTTGGCAGCTTCGGCAGTGACCTGTGCGCCAAGGCAAGAAAAGTGTAGCAAGCCTCTGCACTACCCGCACATGCATCAAGGGCTAGTGGCTCTGCAATCAAATTGGTCCAGGTTGTGTTTGTGCATGCTCGCGGGCTCAGGACATTCTGACCACAAGTCCGTACGATTTCCAGTTCAGTTGGCAGGCGCACAACCTAACCCCGGACGACTTACCAAAATGCACGCCAGCATTGACTAGCCAGACAAACGAGACTCCGAAGCAAACAAGGATGTGCGAGGATGCAAAAACCTTGCCTTCTCGGTGCTTGCTTCCAGCGACCCTTCAGGTGCTGCCTTGCTTGACTGGACAACGCCTGCACAGCGAGGCCATGAGTGCGTCGGATATCAACCGTCGAGGTTTGGTCTCAATTGGAGCTGCAGCAGGAAGACACACTGAAAACAAGCACTTATGCAAAGCAGCGCTTGGGAGATTTTTGCAAGTGCCAGAATCCAGGGACACAGCTGGAAGCACGAGCTGGCATCTTGTGGGCCCGGGCCCATTCGCAGAAGCATCCGGAAGAAGTAGGCTAGCCTGGCATTCCGCTGACATACAGGCAGCATGACATTAACAAAGCCTCTGCGAAGGTGAAGACATTGCACAACATTGCAAGCAAGTCGCCCAACAATGTTGAGGAACATGAACACCGTCAATGCCTCTCTGCTGCCATTCCGAGCAACAGGGGTTTAAGACATTGAGTGCTGGAGCGTCGGCATAAATGTCGTTTGTCGTTTAGAGCATCTGTGTGAGCAAAGCTTGCTTCACAATGGCCACCAAATACACCAAACCTTGCCAAGCTGCAATATTGACGGTTGCGAAAGCCAGGATTGCATCAATGACACCTCGTCAGGGTTTGCCAACGGTTGCCATATCGCCGAACCCGTCAGCGAGGTTTGGACAAGTTCAGAAACCTGGTGTCGCTGTCCGTGCAAAGGATTCATGCATGCACCGCTGCACCAGCGGACCCTGGCCATAGCACTGTGGTGAGCAGTAGGCTTTAGGGGTTGAGGGTTTAGGGTTGAGGGTTGTGGGTTTAGGATGAAGGCCTTGGCTTTTTCTTGGCAGACTAGCCGCGAAACTTGAGGTGGCAGTTTTGAGAAGCCTAGCACCACAGACAAGGGTGGAGAGATAGTGCCCTTTTTTGCTAGCCCTTTTGTTAATATAAAAACCATTAAATTATTTCCATGTTATCCCTAGTATAAAAGTAAGAATTTACCATCAATAAAGTATAATTCAAAGACAAATACTATACTGTTAATTCCTATATTCGCCTCGGCTTCCTACACATCGAAAGCGTCTGGAACAAGCAGACCCCCGGATCGGGCCTCCTTTCCCTCCAACAAAATTTCTGACGCCCATCCCCCCCCCCCCCCCCCCCCCCCCCACCCCCCCCCCACCCCCCCCCCACCAACCCGACCCCCCCCCCCCCCCCCCCCCGATGGACACTTAAAGGCTATGCCTGCACGTGGCGTGCCTTGTAACAAAAACTTGACAAAGGAAAAAACACCCGCAGAATAGACGCAACGCATAGAATAGAAGCAATGAGCGCCCTTAGCATCAGCACAGTGTGTCCATGGACCGCGGATGACGGAGGGCGCGGAGGGCGCGGCGGAGGGAACACGGCCGAGGAGGGCGCGGCGGAGGGCGCGGCGGAGGGCGCGGAGGGGCGAGGGAGGGCGGCGGAGGGCGCCGCGGAGGGCGCGCGGAGGGCGCCGCGGAGGGTGCCGCGGAGGGCGCGCGGGGACCGTGAGGGCCTCGGGGGAGGCGCGGAGACGTGGAGGCGGCGAGGAGGGCGGGCGCGGAGGAGGGCGCGGGAGGGCGTGGAGGGTGGAGGGTGCGGAGGGTGCGGAGGGCGCCCAGCGCGCGGAGGCATGGCGCAAAGAAGTGAAGGTGCCCCGGTTTTGTGTTTGTTTTTTTTTTGTTTGGTTGAACCCCTTCTTGTCTAGTTGCGCGTGTCCCCCCCCACTCCCCCTGCCCCATTTCAACCGAATGAAATGTTTCACGCTCATTTCCTCCGAACTCGTCCGTCAGACTCATTCATGGCCCAAGAGAGGTTTGCGGGAGAAAAAAGAGACGGTAAGTGTCCAAGGCCCCCCCACCCCCCCCCCCCCCCCCCCCCCCCCCCCCCCACCCCCCGCCCACCCCTGCCCCCCTCACCCCCCCCCCCCCCCCCCCCCCCTCCCACCCCCCCCCACCCCCCCCCACCCCCAACCCCCACCCCCTCTCCACCCCCCCCCACCCCCCCACCTCTCCACTCCCCCCACCCCCCCACCCCAACCCTCCAAACACCCCCCCACCACCCCTCACCCCCCCACCCCCCCATTCCCCCCCCCACATCTCTTGGGTTTGGTGCCCCGTTCATACCCCCCTCCCACCCCCCCCCCCGCCACCCACCCCACCCCACCCCCCCACCCCCCCCCCCCCTCCCCCCCCCACCCCCCCCCACCCCCCCCCCCCCCCCCCCCCCTTTGTTCCTCCACCCCCCCCTCCACCCCCCCCCCCTACCCCCACCCACCCCACCCCCCCCCCACCCCCACCCCACACCCCCCCCACCCACGACCCCCCCCCCCCCACCCCCCCCCCCACCCCCCCCCCCCCCAACCCCCAACCCCCCACCCTCAAAACTCCCCCACCCCCCCCCCCACGCCCCCCCACCCCCCCCCCCCCCCCCCCCACCCCCCCCCCCCACCCCCCCCCCCCCATCATCCCCCCCCCCCCCTCCCAAACCCCCCCCCGCACCCCCCCCCACCCCCCCCCCCCCCTCCCCCCCCCCCCCCCCCCCCCCCCCCCCCCCCCACCCCCCCCCCCCCCCCCCCAACCCCCCACACCACCCCCACACCCCCCCCCCCCCCCCCACCCCCCCCCACCCCCCCCCCCCCCCCCCACCCCCCCCCACCCCCCCCACCCCCCCCCCCCCCCCCACCCCCCCACCCCCCCCCACACCCCCCCCCCCCCCCCCCCCCCCCACCCCACCCACCCCCCCCCCCCCCCCCCCCCCCCCCCCCCCTACCCCCCCCCACCCCCCCCCCCCCCCCACCCCCCCGCCACCCCCCCCCACCCCCCCCCACCCCCCCCCACCCCCCCCCCCCACCCCCCCCCACCCCCCCCCCCCCCCCCCCCCCCCCCCCCACCCCCACCCCCGAGGCGGCGCGCGCAAGCGTTTACAGTTATGAAGGACAAATACAAATTTTTTGTATGAGTATATAATACAACACTAGATTTAATATAGTAGGATATACTAAATTATATTGATGCTCTTTTACACGATACTTATTTTGTTTATTTCATATTTATTTTAAATTGATCATTCGCGACTGTGGGAGTGCACTTTTTTTCTGTTTTTACTTTCTCGTACTTGATAACTATCGTTCAACCTTCAGGTGGTGATCTCTCGCATCTTAATTATGAAATTGCCTTTTAATTATTTATGTGAGAACATGCTATGTATGAAGTGCTACCACGCTTCATGCCCAGGCCTTGGTCACTTTGATCACATGGAAACAGCTTTTCAGAGCAAGTGAGTATCCCAGTGTTTTGGGCTATGGCAAGATACCCAGGTGAGTCTATACCTGGCTTAGTTCGTGAACTAGGAGGACAAGACGGAGAACTCACTTTCGATGAGGCTGTTGGTCAAGTAGCAGGTCAAAATTTCAAAGGACCAGAGGCACGACCCATCAAGTGCGATCGTCCTGTGGGAACTGTGTCGGTCCCCCCTCCCAACAACCTACCCTTGCTTCAGCTTTTCTTGGTATAGTCAGAACAATGACTCCTAAAATTGCATATTTGAGCACCGGGAAATGAAGGACAGCTATTGGGACAATTGGGACAACCACCTCACAGGCTCCGATAAGCCAGCATTGGGCTACTCTATGTTTTGAATCTTGACAGGACAATGCTGGCTTTGTAGTTTGTATGTGTTAATTTATCTTGGCAACTTGTTCTTTCGAAGGGTCCAGAATGTTGTTTTATTGGATAAATTGTAGTTTCGCAAGGCAAAGTATTGAAAGTATTGATCCAATACCATACGGAAAGTCCACTGAAGTACTTTGTTTTTACGCATGAATGAAACAAGTAAATGTATATTACACAAAACATTCGCCCTATGCGAGTTTAACTGCAGCAGCACTTAGCAAATAGCTGAATATTGACTAAATGAAATCAACTTAAAAGACTGTTTTTTGTACAACTAAAGTATGCACTAGACACTAATTGAAATAGAAGCGGCTTGAGTTTCATAATACTGAAACCAATGCTACTGAAGTACTTGTTAAAGACTACTGATGCGCGGTACCTGAAAAGAGACAGGCTTTAAAATGCACAATTCTCATAGTAAAGTAGCTGTTGCCTCACAACGGTCATAGCACAAGTAAATTCACAAACGCAAATGCAAGCTTTTCAGGAGAACCTCTGGTGAAGTTTGGATTTGGGGGTTTTAAAGTCTAGATAAATAAAGCAGCTGTTTAAGCAAATAACTCTAGGCAACACACCTACTGGGCAAAATGTTGCTCAACCATGCGGTACTCAGTACATGCTGAGTCTACCAATCTAGCAGTCAGTGGATATTCAATTATTATTGGGTGAGTACAAGATTTATTGAATATACACAGAATAAGACATAATGCTCAGTAAATGGTACTTGACTACAGAAAACTAATTCAAATTACGTACGAATGAAATACAATTTATATATTGTTTGCTTAGACAAGTACAGTTTACATAGAAAAGCCTTGAAAAGCACAAGTTTCTAAGAACCATACCATCCACCCAGTAAAGGCTATAGTACTGGGCATGGGAATGCGGGGTTTGGGGGCAGAACCAATGCTCAAACGCTCTTTACATGCTACTTGAATATGAAACTAACCCATTCATGTACCCATTAAAAACAGTACTCTTTATATACGATGCCTAAAAAAGTACAATTTGCATAGAAAAGCCGGGAAGGGGGGGCTCAGGCAGGAAATTTTCAGGGACTCTTTGAAACTAGGCCATCTGCTGAAGAGTCCTGAAATATTGTTTTTTTTGTTTTTTTTGGTTCTTTTGGTTCTTTTGGTTCTTTTGGTTTTTTTGGTTTTTGTGATTTCCGTACGGATTTTCCGTACGGTTTTAGTGGAGAGTCCTGAAATATTGCTTTTTTCAATAGTTTGGTTGTCCGTGGGACTGGAGAGTCTAGAAATATTGTTGTTGCTGGGGTTTTAAATTTTTTAACAGCGACAAAATGCAGAGAAAGTGCACTCCCACAGTCCCCCGTTTTGCCAGTGATTGATCTGATTTCATATGACTTATGATTGATTTATATTACTATGATTGAATATGGTTAGTAAGGAATATGATTATTAATTTGGGTTGTGTCCCATTTCTCTAGCTTTTTTCTAGCAAGACCCCTATTTTCTCTATGTTTAAATAGAACAGCCTCTCCATACATTAATAGGAAACCCTTTGCTTTCTTTGTACTTGTGTATGTTCTCATACAAAAAACCTGTATTTTCTGTTGCATTCTTCACGAAAACCCTTGCACAAACAAGGGGGGAGGGTGAGAGGGGCGCCCCTCCCCCCTTTGCGAGCACAATGCTCGCATGACGGGTTTGGAAAGGATTTGTACGTGGCATGATCTTCTACACAAAGCAGGTTTGCACGAGCTAAAAACGAGCCCCAAAGCAGGCTGTTGGGGGTGGAGCACCCCCCCCCCCATTTGCAAACAATGTTTTAAACACCCCCTGCATGAGCTGATGTTCTCGACAAAGCAAGCTTGAACCTGTAAAAACAACGGCGGGATTGGGGGGTGGGCGCCGACTGTTTGCAAACACAAAGTTCTTGAATTCTCTGCAAAACTGGACACTCCCTTCAGGGGATCCTCTGTACTCTGCAGAGGTTCTCTGTCAAGAAATATTCTGGGTTTGGGCACTCCATAGACTCTCTGAAATACTCTGGGGTTGAGCACTCCAGGGACTCTCCGGGAATGGGGACTCTCTGGGATAATATGGGGTTGCTGCAGGGAAACTGGGTTGAGCCTGGCATGCCACACACCAAAAGCAGCCGGCTTCTTTAGCCATATATCGCAAAACATGAATCTTAAGCGCCTTAAGAGCTTAAACGCTACACCTTTGTCAGCTCGAGCTTTCCGTTTGCACCTGGCCCAGTGGATACCGATGGCATTCCAGGTGAACATGAAGAGCGGCAACATCAGGTTGAACAGCTTCACCCGCAACCTGGCACTGAAAGTGGCTGGGCTCGAAACCTCTGGTGGGAGCGACAAAAGAAATAAGAAAGCCAAACCATCGAAACCCCCAAGCCCTCTCGAGGTCGGTGCGGGGCGCGATGTGGAAAATCAGGATCAGGCTCCCACACGCCTGGGCCAACGAAGCGGCTTCCGGCTTAACGGAATGGATCCGAGTCTGTGGACCCTTGGTGTCAGGAAGATGTCACATCAGTAGCGGGCTACAGTACATCCTCTATCTGCGTGGACTCGAAACAGGGTTGTACAGCGTTGTTCTGACTTGACATGCCCAACAAAGCAAGATGCGAGGCAATCGCGCCAGCTGAAGAGAAACTATGCCTACCTATGCTGCTTTGTCCTGCTTGAATTGGATCAGCAAATCAACCCAAAGCGCCCTAGAAATCGTAACAAAACAAACGCCTGCAAAGTGGCTCTACACAACAAAGTCGTGAAGCAATAGTGCTGGGTCTCCGTCACAGGGCGCGCATGACCCTGTGGCCACAGGCTGTGGACTTGGCCTTGGCACGTGGCAAAGTAAGGCCACCCAGTACTAAGCAGTGATTGTTACAAGATGTAGGAGCATTTCAGGACAAGACACAAAAGCTTCTCGATATTTTGAGTATCTGGGGCGTTGGTGCGTTTGAGTTGTTACACATGCTGGGGTTTGAAAGTCCAGGCCCAAGATAGAATTCGAAGTTGGGTTCCAACAGTTTTCTGAGACTCTTCAATCTCCGATCTTTACACTCAAGACCTTCAAGACATTCAAGATGCCAGGCTTTGAACAGCCACAAAACATGGATCATTGAGTGGGGGAGAGGCATGTGCCCACAAAGGGTGCAGTAAATGGCCTCCTGTGGTTGATTGGGGAGGGGGGGGGGGGGGGGGGGGGCGTGTTAGGATTTAGGGTTTTTTTTAGAGCTTGGGGCTTTTGAAGGTTTAGGGTGTTTGGGTTTAGGGGTGGGGTGGGGTGTGGGGGGTGGGATGGGGTAGGACGGGGTGGGATGCAGTGGAATGGGATGGGGGTGGGATGGAATTGGGTGGGATGGGTCTTCGACAGAGGGTGATGATGGGGGTGTGATGGGGTGTGCTGGGGTGTGATGGTGAGGTGATGGTGAGGTGGGTGTGGGGCGGATTGGGGTGGGGATATTCCACTCATAGACACTGTCGTCTGGACTCTGGAATTCAGAAGCACATAATCCGCCGAGGCCTCGGGCCGTTGGTGTCTTGGTATCATAAAGTGAGGTAAGTACCCCAAGACCCCTCCCTCCCCTGCAACACCACCCAGACCCACCCCCCGCCCCAGCCGCTGGGCAGGCCCAGGCCGAGGCGGGTCGTGTAACGTCAAAGTGTGGGCCCTCAGAGAACGCAGCAGGCTGAGGCGTTAGCAAAATTCAGGATCATCATGCTGTACAAAACGAAAGCCCAGAGTGTCAGCAGCCTTGGTTACAGCAACGCATGCACCACCAGCAATCTTTGTACGCCCTATAAGCCTGGATGTGCACACTGTAACGTATGTAACGTGGATCCATCTGGGAAACTAAGTCACGGAAGCCCAGCCAAAACTCTGAGGCTTATTGAAGAACCGAGCAAGAAACCTTCGAATAAACCACAGTACACCCCAGACACCTAGGGCCATCGCGAGTCACAGCTGTGGAAGCCCTTCACATAGGCCTACCACTGCTTCTGCTGAGAACCCCAATGCGTGCCATTGCTTCCGGCTAGACCTGAAAAAATGCTTGGTGTGCCTAGGGGCCTAGCCGTCGCCTTTGGGTCGTCTATTGCAATTTGCACAGCATGGGAACTACGGCAAGGTTCTCATTTCCCCGAAGGTGCATCAGCAGTGACCCGGCAGGGCATGAGCAACATCTGCCTGGCGATTTAAGAACTATCGAAGAACCGGCCTTGGCCCAAACGAAACACAGCCTCGGCGGAATGCGCCGGACACATGTGTGAGGCCAGGGATAGCATACTTCTACTCCTTCTTGTTAATTACACCTTGCACTCCTGAACCAGCCGTGCTGCGGCAACCATCTCATCTACACGCTAGTTGACTCGCACTGGCATCATCAAAGGAAGGAAGTGTGCGGAACTGCATTAACCATTTCACTCAAGCCACTTGCCTGGAATCCCAAAAGTGAGGTGCATCCATGCAGTCAGCTGCCGATTGCAGTGATCAAAAGACCAAAAGACTCATCCAAGTCTCCGTGAACCCTGGGGCCCGGGCCAAACTAACATGACCACCGTCAACATCCCTAAAACGAAGCTGCTGATGCCAAACCTGAGATGGCAGTCCGCTCTCATACCCACTCGCCCGAGGAATGTGGATAACAAACGAAACGCTCCTTATCCCATGAGTGCCTTGCGTTCGCCCATATTGGCACCAGCTTTGGTGATCTCAGGTCCCGATTAGTGGCAGCATGTACCGCGTGAGTCCTAAGATACCTACTGTAGTCTAGGTTTTTGCTTCCAATGCTGTGCATAATGTCGGTTTGTGGTCACTTCAAGGATTTAAAAGCCGACCCCAGAGGTTCGAAGAAAAGGAGCAAGAGCTCGGACCGGGATCAAACAAAAAAGAACGCCAACCCCAAAAAAGCAATGACAATTATTGACAATTTCGCAAAAATCCCCCCACAGTGCCAGATCCTCGCCGACTACGTTTGAGTCTAAACCTCTTGTCCGGCCAAGAGCATCAGCAGCCAATGCCGGCACACCTCGGCCATCATTTCCTGCCGATGTTGTCGGACCTCGCAGACGGATCAAGAACAAGATACATGGCTGGCTTGAGATTGGCGAACGCAAGCTCTTGGCTCTACATATTCCCTTCCCTTCTACTCATCGCTCTTGGCACAGTGCAACAGCTGAAGGCACACTGGGGTCCACACAATCAGAGCATCTACCTGCGCTGGCGTCATTCCCTGCGCAAGCAGCTCCTGCGAAAGGGCGACTTTGCCCGGTCCCGGGGGGCTGGGAGAGACGGAACGATCAGGAATGAATTGGGTGACCACTGAGTCTCGAAATCGAGTTGAAAGCGGCGTGATTCAAGTCAGACATCTGAGAGGCCAAAGTCCGAGAACGGAGCTGGCCGAGTCAGATAACAACACGGAAACACGAAAAACTGGTTTGGGTACAGCACCCACATATGACTCCGGGCAAGCAACATGCAGGAACGGACGACGAAGCAAAACCTATGACCACCAAAGATGCTTGCATACTGTAATTGTAACTTACAACCAGCATCCCACGGGGTGCCTGTCTTCGCACCGCGTCCCATTGTCCTGCTAGCAGCCACCCAATATGCCACGGAGTGACACCAAGGTAAGGGCATGGCTTGCAAGCGGCAAAGTCGCAAGCCAACAGCTTGAACCGAAACCTCTACACTGCCAGCCAAGCCTAAAACCCTGAACCATTATCCAAAATCCCAACCCTAAACCCTCAACCCTTAACTTTAACCTTATCCCTAAAACCTAAACCCGGAGCAGGGCATAAACCCAAACCCACAGCGATTCCCCAATCGCTGACCCCCGAAACCCCAAAAACCCTAACCCAGGCCACTGCATTCCCAAAAGCTAAAGCCAAAACCTCCACCCCAAACAAGTGAAGGCAATGCAAAGTCCGAAAGCCGTGAAAACAAATGGAAGCCACCATGAACCCAGATGCGCCAAGAGTAACCCTCAACCCAAACTGAAAACACAGAACAAAAGAAAAACATGCAGAAACAAAATGCGTGCAAAACGCGTCTTTGAAACAGAATACGTCGTGCTGAGATAATGATAAAGCCCTCGCCTGTAGACAACGACGAGATGCCCGAAACTTCATCAGAGTCTACCTTGGCAGCACGAAATCAATGTCGCTGAGGCTCGTCGTCTCAGCAGTTCACATGTTCAATGCAAACTGAATGCAACCGCACCTGCCTAGCACCAAACGCAAGCCGCAGAAATGCCCAATGCAAACAGCAAGGTCAAATTCCGACAACGCTCTGCTGGCCGACAACCGCAAAGGTTTGAAGACACCCACCAGGGCAACCAACGCCCAGCCCTCACGCAAACATGCAATGAGTTACAACCATTAACGATGGCCGCAGCGCCATTAGCCCGCCCTCTACGCTACAAAATATTCTTCGGCAGCTCAGGCTGGCGGCCGGCCATCCAGCGTGTGGGACGTCGAGATCGGTCGGCTGTGGGCCAGGCGTGCCTGGCTGGAAGCTCACCATCGCTACAGCAGCTTGCGGGATGACCTTGCTCAAAACTCAAAACGGATCTTCCAAGCTAGACGAATTAAACTCCTGTTCCTTGCTCCTTCTTGATTCGTCTTGATTCGTGGAAGGCAACACGGAGACTTTCTGTGCTCCTACCCCAGCCTTCGACGACCTGACCACGGGCCCCGAACATCTCAGGCTCCTGGATTGTGCAAGCGCCCCTTGCTTGGTTGACTGATTCGTCAGAAATGCTTCATTGCTTCCACTGGGGACCCCACCACAGTCCGCGCATCAGACATCAGCTGCTGTACTGGACGACAGGGCAAATCGTACTAGGCTGTGTGCATGTGTGCTATCTCTGCTCGCGTGGGTGTGCTGGAGTGCAATGGTAGTCAACAAGAGGGAGGCATGCTACTTGAAGTACTTGGTGGACGGGGCAGCGTCTTCAAAGGTGGTGGGGTAGTGCTGGGCAGGTCGTGGATACAGTGCCATGTCATTGACTACTCTTGGCCGTTGGCGCCGTTTGCCCCACTGTATTCCAGGGTCAATGGCTCAGTTTTTTGGGCCAAATTCGAAGCATCAAACATCCAGCAGTGGCACAGCACCAGCCGCGCCTAAAGAGCTGCGTGGCCCTCAACAATTATTACTGGTCGTCAACTCCGAAACAAGCCCAACAGTGGAAGAGCACGTGGCCGTAACCACCCCTACAACACAAGGTCGGCCCACGCTAACTACGACTTTAAATGTTGATGTACTGTAATACAGTACACTCTTGACGGCTGACCCTGTTACAGTACCATTCTTGCAGGCACGCAGCATTTTCGCAAGCTGCCAGGCCACATTTCGCCTCCTCTTGCAAACAGCTGTCTGGCATGACATTCGAGCCATCTGCCAGCGATCCTTAGATCACAAGGTCATGCTCCTACCGTGCCCAGGTTCTCAGCCTTCGGTTTAGGGATTAGGGTTCCACCTACATAGGCTGACGAGACGTGAGCCAGAGCCAGAGCAAACAGTGAAAATAGGTTCAAAACGCACATCCTGAACTACAGTACATGTTGTTCTTCGTACACGCACTCTGACAACTGCTCTCATTGCAGTCCAGGCAGCTGCTCCTGCACAATGCCGCTTCGAGCTGCGCGGCATCTAGCCCTGCACCAGGATGTGTCGGTAGACCTCATTGCGGATCAGAACTGTCACGTTTGACAGCTCCTCTGGCGGTCAAACACGTTGATCAGAGAGAAGCGACATGATTGTCGAGCAAGTGCCTTCCAGCATGGCTTACAGGTGAGCGAGGCTTCTTCTAAGGGGGCTGATTTGCTTTGGGACCAAACAGCAGTGGCTTCCATGGGACCTGCGTTTTGCGCAGCAGCAGTCAGCAGGCATTTGGGGCGTTTTGACTTTGAGTGGTGGTTTGGGTCATGGTTCGTATTGGTTCGTTATGATGGGTCGGGGAAACATAGGCCGAAGCTTAAATCTCCACCTCCGGGTGCTTTCGCAGCTCTCACCATAACAGAGCTGACATGTGACGCTGGACTTGCATGTTCTGACAGCAGCGGTACTTTATCCAAGCTTTCAGCGACGATGCTCGCAACACATCAACAGCATACCGGCCCCCCATCCTGCCTCTGCGTCGGTCTGTCAAGCTAGTCTTTTAGCGCCTTCCCGCCCTGGAACCTTGCAGGAGTTACAACATGAATCGTGAACATCCCATGGAAACATCTTGGCTGAGGACAGCACATTCGAACGAAGAAGGGCAAGATGGAGATGACGGCGCAATAGGCGGCGCCGAACTGAAGTCTGAGTCTAAGTTGCTCCAACACGGTCTGGATACCACAGCTCGTGGGGCTTACTCATATAAGGGGTTACTTCTCAGCTTTGACCGTCACTCGAAGCATCACGAAACCCTGTCACTGCACTCCATGGCAGGCCTTGATCTTGAACCAAAACTCTTCCCAGGCCTTCTTGGCCTCCGGAAACGGAAGACAGGCACCCCTGCCCTTGTAAGCATGCTTGGTTTCGGCGTCCTCCAGATTCACACTTGCAATGCCACTGTAAACTCGCATGGGCAGAAGCAGTCTCGAAAGTCGGCTCCTAGAGCCTCAGTGCCGCAAGATGAAGTAACAATGTTAACTTCGGATTCGTACGGGTTTAGGGTTTCGGGTTTTGGGTTTAGAATTTAGGGTTTAGGGAAGTTTAGGGTTGAGGGTGCCCTTAGAAATGGCCCTCCCCTGGAGGTCCGGCCCCCTAATCAACTTTGGAATGCAACTGCCATCCCCCCCACAACCCGGAGGCAAAGGGCTGTTGAGGCCCAGGAGTCCAAGGTTGCGCACTTGTGACCAGAAAAATCTGGGGATCAAGTTGTGAATTGGGAAGTTGACGCTTCGGAATTCTCAGGGCCGACGAAACCCGAAACGTGGGCCTCCCCAGTTCAGCCGGGCCGAGCAAGTATTCCAAGGGCCTTTTCGAATCTTTTCGATATCGGGCTGGACAAGTCCCTAATAGCCCAAAAGGCTTGATCCCAGCTACTGATAAAAAAAAAGAGCCTATTCTGGTTCCCCGAAATGCCTACTGTGAAGGCCCCAAACCCTCAACCCTGATGACACTGGATTGGTAAAAGCGGAGTCTTGGCCACCGACCGCATCTTGCGGTTGGCCTGTTTAGGGTTTAGGGTTTAGGGTTCAGGGTTCAGGGTTTAGGGTTCAGGGTTTAGGGTTTAGGGCCTGAATCAACTCTTAAAGCTACGGTGGCTTGACAGGCCCAACACTACACCAGATGTGACGGCCTTAACACGACGGGCTAGGAATGAAGCTGGCTGAAAATGAAGGCTTCGGCATACAAAGAGCAACTTCCCATGGTTCGGAGCTTCGATCGAGCCTGGCATGAAAAACATGGCGTCCCAACGTCGCCAGGCCAGCAGTTGCACTGCACCTGCGCGCACTTCGCTTGTGGTTCTTGTGCTGAAAAGGCTTGTCAATGTCTGTCAACCGGACAAGTGCCCCCTAAACCCTAAATCGTTTAGGGTTGAGGGTTTCAGGGTTTGCTGCGTCGCAAACTGTTCTTGCATCTGGCACGCTTGGCAGCCTTGCGGGCTCCTCAGTCGCCCAGGATCAAGCCGTCCCTCTGAACCAAGCTTCTGCGGGACACCATGGGCTTTGCTCGCTCTTGATGGATTCTTTTGCAAAAGTCGGTGCTCTCTTGCTGATCGAATGTGGCAGTAGCCAGCACCACGATTTATGGTAGGTACAACTTGCTGCATGAGGGACGTGAGCTGGAGGCAGTCGGCTGATGCTTCAAGACTCTGGCCCAGGCAAGGCGTCGCACCTTTGTTCAGGAGCCACTCTCTTCAGCCGGCGCTAGTTGAGAAGACCTGCATGGCATTCGCTCCGATGAATGGCACAGGGTTTGGGGTTTAGGGCTTGCGGTTTAGGGCTTGCGGTTTAGGGCTTGCGGTTTAGGGTTAGGGCTTAATTAGGGTTTAGGGTTTCGGGTTTCAGAACATAGCACCGAAGCGACCACTCGGGTCTTTGACGATTCAATACTCGTCCGTTTGGAAGTGAACATGCCGGAGCATGGCTTCGCAAATCCACTAAACAATGTGCTGCCACTTCTTGGGCAGCCTAAAACTGTCTCACGAGACCTGTCCCCTCGTCTATTCAGCCAGGAACACAGCTTAACAGGACCACTGAAATGCGAAGCCTCCTACCTTTCACGTGTTCAAGGTCGAGGGGTCAGGGTCTTGCGCTTTGATAACTTTTTTGAGGAGACTACTGATGGACGCAGATTCTCGTTTCCACACAGCTGGCCCTTACACCCTTGCATCCTTTTCCAGCTTGCAGTCTGTCTTCGATTTCTTGTAATGACCTCGGCTACGCTGTAAACAATCTAGCGGAAGGTGCTGGATGCATGATGTATTATTTGTGTTTTTTTCCGAGGCCTACGTTCAGATCTTCGGCTACTGGGTGATTCAAGCAACACGCATGGCACAGACGGCCACGTACCCTACCCTCAAGAAGGCTAAGCGGCTAAGCCCCAAACACATGTTGGGAAGTGCAGTTTCTTTTCACTGCTTGCTCTGCGCTCATCTTCAGTTCCCAAGCACTCCCGAGGTCACACCTCAGAATGCAAAGGCTCCTGCCATCTCCTGCACAAGCACGGAAGATTGAGAGATGTTGAGAGATGTTTCTTCAGTGAGTCTCCCGGCGCTTGGCTTACACTTGCACTTTACGGAGAGTATGGCAAAGAATCACCTGGCCGAAACTGTCATGTGCGGTGACGGTGCACAGCTTGCAGCAAAAGGCAACCGAACCGAGTGTCTTTCTTAGGGGTTTCGGACTTCTGAGAGAGAGCAGAGGCCAGTAAGGCCAGAAAAAGCTGGAGCGAAGGAAAAGCCCCGAACGAAAGAGACAAAAGGGCTCTGAAATAGCTGAGATTTTTGACAAACGTGACATGCTGAGTTGCAAGACTGTATCCTCAGATCCGAAGGTGCGTGGGGTTTCGCCTCTTCAGCCACGACACGAGGCTCTCCGTTGTCACCATCTGGGACTCCAAGTCAAAAATCAACCCAAAAATCTCCAGTGGCCTAATGAATCGGATCGTCCGATGGGCCTCGATTTGGGACCGCTCGCCGCTCGTTGCATCGGGGGCACACGGCCTCTGCGGTGATTCCTCCGGTCCTCCGGGGCAGGCAAAAAAACTCATGCATCCATCGACTCCAGAGGCAAACACGTCCGGCACCCCAAAGTCTCGCTCCTTTGATTCAGCAATCTTCAGGATCCGCATCTGCCGTCGCCGGCACGGCTGGCTCCTCGGTCCGAAGAAAGACTGGTGCTTGGGATGTGGGCTTGCCCGAGAGTCCGTTGCATCCACGGTCTTGGCCGACTCAACTTTACAAGGGCTTGTTTTGGTTTTTCTTTTTACCTGTTCAAAAACCGGAGGTGTGCTTTCAAAATCCGAAAACCTTTCTGGTTAAATGTGTTTTCGAAACGGTTTGCGGACTTCAGTGACCGAAAAGCTCATTTTTCTAGCAAAGACCCAGCATGATCTTAGTCTTTTTTTTCCTCTTGAGACCACCTCATGTCTCTCGGACGAGATGGAGGAAAACTGAAGACGAGTGGGAGGCTCCAAATTGCCACTGATGGACATGGAAAACAGCTTCTGGCAAGCTCTGCTATGTCATCGCAGAGCTTGTCAACGCTGCTATGACGAAGCACGTCTACCAGCCACAGCTGCAATTTCCGCCGTGTTTGTTCCCAAAGTTCCATGGCAAGCAAGGGTTGGTTGACAATGTCTTCGTCTCATGTCGCCTGCCAGGCTCGTAAGACATCAATGAACGCTACAATGATAGGCGGCCTCGGCTTGCAACTCTGGGGGGAAATCCCAATCAGGGGTACGGAAGTAAAGGGATCTGCAGACATCCGGCCTCCGGCATCTTGCCATCGATCTTGGCAGCAGCATTCTCTGGAGCCTGGCGATCCTTGAGGTTTGGAACTCTAAGGCAATGGCAGGGATCGGCATGGGCTTGCCAGACGTCAGGCCTCCGCCATTTTGCCATCGATCTCGCTGCTCACGGCAGCCGCATTCTCGGGAGTCTGCGCGGTGTTGCGATTTAAGAACCCTTCGGTTTAGTCGGCTGTGCCATACCCCTAGCCGAGAGCCTCGAGGAGTACTCGGCTTGGGACTCTGAGGGAAACCAGGGGTCTGCATGGGCTTGCCAGACAGCCAGCCTCCACCATCTTACCATCGAGCTCACTGCTCACGTCAGCAGCAGCATTCTCGGGAGCCTGGGCAGTGTTCCGATTTGGGTGTTGAACTGTGCTTTAGCCCTAGAGCCTTGCAGGAGCCTCGGCTTGGGACTCTGAGCGCAATCCCAAATGTCTGCATGGGTTTGCCAGACATCCGGCCTCTTCCATCTTACCATCGATCACACTACTCACAGCAGCGGCAGCAGCATTCTCGGGAGCCTGGCGGTGCTACGATCTAGGAACCTTTGTGTTTGGTCGGCTGTGCTATACCCCAGAACCTTGAGGGGGCCTCGGCTTGGGACTCTTGAAAAATCCCAATCAGCTTACGGAAGTAAAGGGATCTGCATACATCCGGCCTCCGCCGCCATCTTGCATTCGATCTCGGCAGCAGCATTCTCGGGAGCCTGGCGATGCCCCTAGTCGCCTTTTAGCAGCTGCCATGGGCGCGGACTGTGCGATGTCCCGTGAGGGAGATGCCAGGGGTCTGCATGGGTTTGCCAGACATCCGGCCTCCACCATCTTGCCATCGAGCTCGCTGTCCACGGCAGCAGCGGCAGCGGCATTCTCGGGAGCCTGGGCAGCGTTACGAGTTACGACTTATGAAGGGGTCTGTATGGGCTTGCCAGGAATCCGGCCGCCTCCATCTTGCCTTCGATCTCACTGCTCACAGCAGCAGCGTTCTCGGGAGCCTCCGCGGACAAGAGGCCCCCACCCACCCATCACCCTGACAGATTCAGTACTCTGCCACGGCCAAGCCCCCTCCCCCTGGTCTCCTGTGCCTTTCGCAGGTTTGCAAAAGGGAAACACGCGGCCGGTACAGCGATACGCCGATGAAGGACGGGTTATCGGGCATCGATCCGGGCAGCGTCTTGCGATGTGTCGGTGCGGGCGTGGACCGGGGAATGTTAACCTCAGATTTATAAACCCCCCCCTCAGTTCAGGAATCCCAAGCCCGGAACTCAATTTAAAACCCCCCCTCAATTAAGGAATCCCAGGGGGGGGATTACTAAGCGATGCACCTGTCTTAATCGACGTGTTGGTGCGGGCGTGCGCCGCTGGCGGCCAAGAGCACTGGACCAGTGTATCGGTGTGTCGGTGCGGCCCGGAGCGATGTACCAGGGCGTTTTACCGGTGCCGGGCGCATGGACTCGCGTCCGGACCTGGATGCCTACATGCCGAAGACGATACACTGTCACGCCGACCGGAGTGAGGGCGCGGAACTTGAAGCGGTCAATGCAGCTCTCATTGAAGCATTGTAGGGCACGTCTACACCCAGCGCGGGGGCTTCGCCCGCAATGCCTGAGGACCTCGAAGTCAATTGGATCCTCTCTTCAGAATTTAGGGTGCCAGTTTAAGGGCACGTTTAAGGGCACCGTCTACGGCAAGCCCGCATAAGACCAACCTTGCAGGCACATCAGAAGAATCAACACCTGCCTGACAAATAGCCGCTGGCTTAAGATATCGCCTATAATGCACAAGCTGGAACACCTGTTTCAAAACAAGAACAAATTGAAACGATGCGAGCTCATGATCAGGGCTTGATATCACGGCTCAACGTGCAGCGGCTTCTACTGAAGACGGAAGCTGGAACAGGTGCCGTGCGTTCTCAGTGAAAAACCTGTTGGAATATGATTTCGTCAAAATTCTTGAAAATGTAAAAAAACGAAGGCCAATATCAAGCTTGGAAAATACAATTTAAAAGGCATCAAGAGCTCTGCAGGCTTGGGGGAGTCACTAATTACCCAGCCATTTCCGGGCCTCTTCGACTTCTGCTGCAACGCCAGGGTCAACTTCGACCTACCATTGCATGCTCTGCCAGTCGCTCTCCACATCTGACAATAAGATATAATAAGCATACACATGCCACACATGTCACGAACCCTCGCGACGCACAGAAGAAGGACTCCACGCAGCCTTGGGATCCTTGTCGATCGAATAGACTGGGCAGCTTTCGGGGACGGCCTGGGCCTGGCTGGCATGTCTGGTTCGAACATTTCCAAAGGCCAGGCTGCAACCACAACCGAACAATCACAACAATCACACAACCAGATGCCATAGCGACTGGTCCGTTCATCACTGAAGCGATAAGAAGGCGGAATAGAGAAAGGCAGCCAAAGCAGGAAGGCTAATCTTGGAACATCGAAAGTGGGAACTGGATGTGAAGTGGATGCAGGGGTCATTGAAACAACCTGCATGTCTGGCACACTTGCAAAGACTCTAGCGCCAGTTGTACCATGTGCAGGAGCTGGTTCATCATTGGCTACAGCAGCCGGACCATCAAAGCTGTTAGGGGCCAAAAAGAGACTCGACGCGCCGCATCGAAAAGTTGACTGACCTGTTGAAACAGAGACACAGTTGTGCACCTTTGTGTACCATTGTGCACCAAAGTTGGTGGGTGCCAGGTGGCTTCCTCAGAGTCTCGGTATTAAGGTCGGGAGTCGGCATGCTGGCGAGTGGCCCTGTAGCTGCCATACCCAGTAAGAGGCTGGATGGCAAGCTTGGCGAACACACGAAATTTAGTGAGAGGGTTGGCAGTGCTCTTCAGCACCGTGGCACGGTAACTGCAGTCCGTCGGTGTTGCGTTGGGGGCGCAGCAGATGTTTGGACGAGATGTTGTTGAAATTTAGCCTGCTTTCCGAAAATTTGCTTAGTTGCACTGATGTGGCCAACATTCGCCGACTGTCCTTGGCAACTGTGTTTCTCCTGCCTGTGCAAATCATGCAGACACAAAGGCGAAAGTGTGTTTACTCAGGTTGCTTGGTGCCTGACGTAGTGTGATAAAGAGGAAAACTAAACTCGCAAGCCTTTAAGCCACTGAAACCGCCAAGGCAGCATTTTGAGGCCTCGCTGGCTGGCTCATCCTTGTTTTCCCAGAACCCATTCCATTCCTGGGTTGGCGGAGTGACAATCTTCCATAGCGTTTTGAATGGCTCCGGAACTAATTTGGGATTTGTTTTTTTGGCGGGAGGGGGAGCGGGGACAAATGCCCACCCAATAAATAGCCGAAACATAGTCTTCCAAACTCACGAAGACAGCACATGGAGACAGCATGAAGATAACTGCACAGCTCAAAGCTTGATATGGCGTTTTGGACGCTGCTGGCCTGATGGGCCATCGGCTGGTCAACAGCCTGACAGCGCCAGGAAGCGCAAGGAAACAGCCTTGGCAGCCTTGATCTTTTCAAGCACTTTGAACAGCTCCGGTTTCGATTCCAGGGCCTTGACCGTGTCTGGCTCAGCAGACTCAGCCTAGCATCTTGCAAACGGAACGGACGCAAAGCCAGGAACAACCATGTGGGCATGTTCAGCCCGCCACGTTCTTGGCTGTGGACTCGACAGCCGGTGCCTGCCAGCGAAACAGCAACGAGCAGGTAAAAGGGAACCTTAGGGCAAGCCCTTCTGCCTCTTCAGCTGTCGGTTCGGCAGCCTTGCACATAGACGGGGAGTTTCGGGGAATGGCATCTAAAAACGGCAAACCAAGTGTCGAATCGAGCTCCCTCACAAGCATCAACCCAGCGGCCTCTTCGGCAAGCGGCTCAACCTCCGGGGCCTGCAGTGATTCTTAGTCGCAAAATCAGAGCGGATCCTCAAGCTCTGGTGGCCCTGGGTATAGGCGGATTCTTGCGCGCGGTGGCGGGGTTTGGCCCGTAGGCGGCGGGCCGAACCCTGGGGTCGCCGCCCAGCCGCTGGCCACGGGGCCGCGGTGCTGAAGACAAGAACACAAACCCAAGCGCACAATTTTGTGGAGAAGGCCGGACCAAAATAATCTTGAGATGAACAAGCCTTTCGCAAAACGGTTCACAGTAATCTGATGGGCTCATCTTTTGGCGTTTGATGTCATAATATAGGTTTCTCACTTAGATAACTCGCAGAATTTCAGATCCTTCGCTTGTGGCCAGGCCGTTTCTCTCGGTTGGGTTGGGTTGGGTTGGGTTGGGTTGCAGGGGTTGTGGGGGTTGTGGGGGTTGTGGGGGGCGGCCGTGCCGGAGGGGCTGCAGGGCCGAAGGAGCTGCCTCCTTTATGGCCCCTGATTGATCTTGGGATTTTGGGACATGGGCCGGGGGCCACGTGACACGCAGTGCTCGCACTGTCGGAACACTTGCTCCTGTGCAGGGCTGAGGCACCTGCCTGTAACATTTGTGCGAGGACGCGATGGTGCAAATCCTTCACGCAGGCTAGGGATGTGAAGACTCTGCAGGATGTAGAAAGGCCTATATATGCTTGTGCGCTCGCCTGGAATTCGGCTTGGTCTACAACTAGCGAGGCATCACGGCGTGGCACCTTTCAAGCAGGCATGACCAACTAGAGTTCACTTTGTCAGACTGCGTGTGCCTTCCAGCCTGGGTAAGTACGCAGGCATTGATATGCATTGATGACTTGAGACTCTTCAGGACAGCACTACTAGCGAATTTTGCCCTTCAGCGTGGCTTTGGGGACGTTTGGATCGGAGTGCAGCTGTACGAGACAAAAGTTATTCCCACGTGACATGGGCAGTGCTATTCGCGTTTATATAAGTGAAAGACTGTAGAGGCCGTAGATCATGGATAAATTCGCATGTTGCTACATGCAGGTCATGGCCCGACATCCGAATGAGCTGTTTAGGACTGCCTCTGCTGCTGGCTCGTCTCCAGCATCTGCCCCCGCTTGCTCCTTCAGCTAAGGTTCATGGGCTGGAGTTGGGATCACAATCATTCAAAATCATCCAAGGTTCATGGGCTGGAGGACCAACACTAAATAAAGCATGCTGCGCGCACGCGGTGGATAGGTCACAGACTTGCATGCACTGAGGCAAACAAGGTGCATGCTAGCACATAAGGCTTTTCACGATCGCTGCTCGAAAGCTGGTGGTGTTCATCCGACATTGCCACGTCGTAGACTGCAAGAGGCATCAAGAGGCAGCCTCCTCTTCGGGGTCGACCAAGCCCGTGCACGTGCGCTCCTTCAGGGTTGGGACCCTTTTCTGCAGGTTTCTGCTTGCTAGGCTCGAAAACCCTTGCCTGATGAGCAAGCTTGGGGACACTGACATCAAGGACGGTGGATTCAGCTGGTGCTGTTACAAGCCTTGGCAATCCCAGTGCTCAGTACAAACATGTGAGCCGGAATTGATGCAGCATGCTTGGGTTGCCTGACATAGCTTCAGACCAGGTGCAAGCACCACTTAGAATCATAATAGCAACAAAAATCAAAACAATGAGAACCACAACTCATTTTCAGGATAGTAGGAACAGCAGGAAACACAAGAACACAAGACATCCTGTCATGGACTGTCATGGATACAATCCCCTACTACGAAGTGTCGATGCCGCCTCGGCATCGGGGTCGAAAAACTCAGCTGGTGAGCACTCCTGACGTGTTTGATTTAGGGTTTAGGGTTTAGGGTTTAGGGTTTGGGGTTTAGGGTTAGGGTTTAGGGTTTAGGGTTGAGGGTTGAGGGTTGAGGGTTGAGGGTTGAGGGTTGAGGGTTGAGGGTTGAGGGTTGAGGGTTGAGGGTTGAGGGTTTAGGGTTTAGGGTTTAGGGTTTAGGGTTTAGGGTTTAGGGTTTAGGGTTTAGGGTTTAGGGTTTAGGGTTTAGGGTTTAGGGTTTAGGGTTTAGGGTTTAGGGTTTAGGGTTTAGGGTTTAGGGTTTAGGGTTCAGCATCTCATGTCCAAGCCTTCACTAGTCAAGCAGCTTGTCAAGCGTTGGAAAACAACCCCACCCACCCAAGAAACCCATAACATTGAGAAAATACAAAGTTCATTCAATACATTTTCAGTAGGCTTATAGCTCAAAAGTCCGCCCAAAACCTAAAATCTAACTTTTTGGAAGCAAACTTTCCCTCTTAAGGGGGGTCGGAGTTGGAGGAAGCTCGGTATGAGTCAAAAATCCAGAAAACGACAGGCCACCCAGAACCGTCGACTTCAGTACTAAAAAATCGCATTTTTAATTGGGACCCGGGCCGATCCTGGGGTCCCCCCTCATTTGGGGTGTTTTTGGAAGCAAACTTTCCCTCTCAAGGAGGGGTCAGAGTTTGAGGCCACGGGGGGTCTCCAAGACGATTTTGCCTTTAAAATTGAAAAACACGACCCCCCTTGACCAAAACTAGGCTGAAAAGGTCGCAGGGGTGGCCCGTCATCAGAATTGAGGGTTAAAAACCCTGAAACACCCTCAAAAACGGAAAAACTTAAAAAACACGGAAAAACTTTGAAAAACCTTGACAGAACGTGACATCCTGAAGCCGTGAAGCTCGGTTTGGTCAAAAATCCAGGGCCCCCCCGGGTGGGAAAAAACCATTTGCCCACGAAGGGGTCAGGGAAGGGGGTCAGGGTTTAGGGCCCCCCCGGGTAGAAAAAAACCATTTGGTCACGAAGGGGGTCAGGGTTCAGGGCCGCCCCCGGGTGGAAAAAAACCATTTGGTCACGAAGGGGGTCAGGGTTTAGGGCCCCCCCGGGTGGAAAAAACCATTTGGTCACGAAGGGGGTCAGGGTTTAGGGCCCCCCCGGGTGGAAAAAAACCATTTGGTCACGAAGGGGGGCAGGGTTTAGGGCCCCCCCGGGTGGAAAAAAACCATTTGGTCACGAAGGGGGTCAGGGTTTAGCCTCGGTTTTGATCAAAAATCAGAAAACGAGAGCCCACCCAGAAGCGTCGATTTCAGTACTAAAAAATCGCATTTTGAACTGGGACCCGGGCCGATCCTGGGGTCCCCCTCATTTGGGGTGTTTTTGGAGGCACGGCCCAGGAAAAAAACCATTTGGTCACGAAGGGGGTCAGGGTTCAGGGCCCAGAAAAAAACCACATGGTCACGAAGGTCATTAGGGTTTAAATATACATAGTAAAAGAGGGTTTAGGGTTTAGGGTTTAGGGTTTAGGGTTTAGGGTTTAGGGTGTAGGGTGTAGGGTGTAGGGTGTATGGTTTAGGGTTTAGGGTTTAGGGCTCAGTGGCAGCCATGGTAAATGAAAGAGTGAACGAAACCGAGGGGTGACAACAAGAAGCATTCTTCCTCATCAGTGCAAAGAAGGGGTTATCATCTTTCATTCTTGGGGGATCTTAAGCACGTAGCAAAAAAGAATAACAGATCCCGGTGCCCCTATTCAAGTGCCTTGATCCCCCCACGAAAAAAAATGTCGCGCCCGTGTGACGCGCCTCCTTCGCGGGCGATGCTTGGAACTCTGGCTCTGCGGGCTGAGCCTGGGTTTAGGGTTTAGGGTTTAGGGTTTAGGGTTTGGGGTCTAGGGTCTAGGGTCTAGGGTTTAGGGTTTAGGGTTTAGGGTTTAGGGTTTGAGCGGAGGCACAAGAACCCACGAAACCAAAAAAACGCCAAGATGAAAACTAAGGAAACACGTGCAAGGCCTCGAGCACGAGGTCTATTTTGTGTCTACGATCCAGCCTGATCAGCCTGCACTGCCACTTCATCGTCAGCCAGGACAAATGGCTCTGCATCCACCACCTGCGTGGTGCTAGTGCCAGTGCAGCTTGCGCTATGTGCTACCGTCACAAAGAAGGCATCAAGTCTGAAACTGAGCTCTGCACGACAGCACCGGTGAGGTTCCTTTCCTCCTGTAGGATTGCAGGAACCCCAGAGCGACTAGCGACTAGACTTTAGAGAGTTGCCCACCCAAGACATCCCTGTTTGTAGTCTCCGTGTCTCCTCCAGGCCCGGTGGTGGCCGAGAACCGTTCCCAGTCGCCTATTGGCTGAGCCAAGTGCAGATTCTCTCCACATTCTTGGTACCCAGTACGAATTGGAATATCATTGTGCATTGCTCAATCACACGCAAACTCTACCGCTTCATCGATACTTCGTTCTGGTAGACAATGCGGCGACCAGTATGCCCTACTGTCATCCTCTTCAACTTCAAAGAAGCAGGAGCGGTGACATTCGGTTTCTACTAGTGATTCAGGCAGCGCGGCAGGCTTGAGTATGACAGGTGGTACAACAACCGATTCTGGTACTGTGACTGGTGGTGCAGTAACCGTATCAAGTGGTTGGTCGCCACTGAAGGATTTGGTAATAACACTTTCTTTGACGGAACTTGGCAACAGGCAGATCTTGGATACATTGCCAGCTGATTGCATTTTCATTCTCTGAATCTATCGGGAATTGTCGATGCCAACCACTCGCGGACGCTTTCGGACGTTTTCACGGAGAACCGTGAAAATAGTAAATAGTGCATGAAGGCACACACATACATACATATACGATTTTCATATATATATATATATATATATACATATATACATATATACATATATATATATACATATATATACATATATATATTTATTTATATATTATATACATTCATATACACGTATACACATATACATACATTATGGTCACTCAACCCCCCAACCCCCCCCCCCCACCCTCACCCTCTTACCTAACGACAAACACAGATCGTGAAAACATGGTTTCGTTAACAGATGTCCACTTTCCGATGCCGGCAAAACACGTTGAAGTCTCCTGTGAGATCCACTTGAACCCCTCCCTCTACAAACCCTACAGCTAGCGCATGCTTTGTAACATAGTCATGTGCCGAACCGTCTGCTATCTCAAAACTGTTGGGGGTGATTGTGAGAAACATCGGGCAGGGAAAAGCTGCTTGTCGCAAACAGTGCGAGCTCTGCCTCCATGGTTGTGGTGTTTGCTGCCCAGCTAGCCTTCGCGCTGCAGCGACGAGCTTTCGTGAAGGTTTCTTTCAACGTACTTCAATGTGCAGCCCGCATGTCTCGGACATACCTGCAACAGCTGCATCAGTGTGCTGCTGACAGCACGAGAGACGGAAAGGCTGTATGCAGCCCTCATGCACCTCTTCTGCACCAGGGCCATAGTAGTGCTCTTGGGCTTGGTAGAAAGCCTGACAAGTTCAAAAACAAGGGCAATGACGCATACCTTGACTGATGCAGACTTTCTTGGGAACATGAAGTTGATGAATGTCAGCCAGCAGGCAGAAAGCTTTCGCAAAACAAACGGATGGAACCAGCGGCCCCTTCGCAACCTGTTTTGCAGCATGGCATGCTGAGGTTGTACCGAGCAACCAAAAGGCAGACCCACAGGTCCCTGTAAATTGACGATGTCCCATTGTCAACAGGCGAAATGTCCTCGTGGCCTTACTTGTTGCTGTGGTTTTGCTTCTCATGTTACTTGCATGTTACACGTGCGTTAATTCCATGATTTTCTGTACTTGAGCGCGCAACGATACTTGGAGTTGAACTTGTACTTGTACTTACTTAACTATCTTTCTACTTAGCGTGGTCGCTTACCCCTGCTCCCGCGCGGTGACGTAGAGAGGCAAAAAGACGGATGGATGGAGGGAGAGACAGAGCTAGAGAGAGCTGGATAGAGATAGAGAGATAGAGAGGCAGGGGAGGGAGAAAGGGCTGAGAGGTAGTGCATGTAAGCACGAACCTCAACATCCTACGACTCCGACGCACCTTTCCGCCAACCCTACGGTCCTGGCCTGCGCATTGTAGTCGAACGCCTTGCAGGCAAACTTTCCTATGCAACATAACCACAAGACCTTCTCTCCAAGGACGCAGGGCGGTCTTGCATCACCACAAGCTACGGGTATGTTCGGTTTGGAGTTTAGCAGGGGGGTTCCCTCTTGGCTGCTGGCCTGCGACGACACGTCTGTCGGGTACGCGTCCTGGCACAAAACAAGAGCAGGGGCGGCCAATTTAACAAGTGCCAACGTGATGCCAACAGTGAGTGTGCGCTTACATTAGCTCAAAGCTTCCTCTCATAAACCACCCTCGACATCACTTCGGACCGCTTCCCAGCTTCAAGGTCGGCAGGTGGGCGGAAGGGTAGTACGCCGCTGCTGGATCCTCAGATGCACATTGCTGTGTTGGAAAGTCCTCTCCACGACGCACTGCTAAAAGTCTCATGTCAGGACACGCAGAGACATGCCTCCAACGTCTCGATAAGGCTCAATGTCCACGAGAGGCTAAGACTCTGCTATGTCCGGTGCCGGCAGCTTATTCCACCACTCTGACTAGAAGTGCCTAAAGATGTTTAATAGTAGGCCTCATCACAACTCCCTAAACTCACAAGGGTTACCGTGGCTTTCAATTTGGGATCCGGGCCATGGCCTCATAGCCCTGGCGGAGCAACGGCACAGGACGCTGCAATCGGGTGGCCACGGTATCCCCTACTACACAGGTGTCACTCTGCAACTCAGATCCTTGGGTGCTGTTGTTATCTGCTGTTGGTCTTCATACCGAACCAGCCGCCAACTTGTGCCACCTGATTGTTTAGGTTTCCCAGGCCGCTTGTGGATGAGACCCCGAGCCCACTTTCGCCCATAGATGGCAAAGCAGCTGTACCTGACTCATGTCTTGGCCCTTCTTCGCTCTGAACGCATTCGAAACCCCAAAAACAACACAAAGTGTCTGGCGAAGGCAGACCGGAACCGGTCCCCCACCCCAGACCCGAGCTTCAACACGCCGAGCGTTGCCCTTCGAAGCATGCGGCTACACACAACCGAAAACGGCGTACCGACGGGGTAAGAGTGTGTACTTTTTTGTTGCGGGTGTTTTGTTGTTGCGGGTGCGGCGCGTTTTTTTTTGCGCGGTGGGGGCGCGTTGTTTGTTTTTCTGCGGGTGCGGGGGCGCTGTTTAAACCCCTATTTCTGTCTTCTCCATATTTGAATATGAAAACCTCTAATTTCTCTACCTGTTAATATGAGGACCCCTATTTTTCTAATTTCTCTATACTTAATACGAAAACCTCTATTGCTCTATCTTTTAAACCGAAACCTCTATTTCTCTTTATTTTGTCTATGTTGTCATAGTTTTTCCTCTATATGTAATGAGGAAGACATGAGTGAGGAATACATGAGAAACTTATTCTCTGTCTTATCTCTATATGTGAATGGCAATTAAATTAATTAAATGTATTTGCATTCCTCTTGTCCTATTTCAATAGGAAAACCATTTTTTATCTGTATCATACTAGGATAACCTCCATTCTCTCTATATTTGAACATGAAACCTCTTTAATAGGAAAGCCTTTATTTTGTCCATATTTTGATATGAAAACCTCTATTTTCTTGTTCTTCCATTAGAAGACAGCTATTTTTTCCTCAGGCTTTCTTCAGGGGGGGAAGCCCAGCCTGGGGCCAGGCAGCGTTGCCAGCATCCTCTTGCTGAGCATAGGCTTCAGCCTCGGTGGTGAGAGTCTAAGAAGGGCTCAGGCACTGAACCCTTGAGAGCAACGCACCACAGCGCAACGAACATTGAATCTCCCTCCCGCTTCCCGAAGGCTAGAGGAAGGCCCAAAACCGAGGTTTTCCAAACCCAAATGACACAAAGATTGGCCAGGGCACCACCATCTCTGGCGGCAGCTCACCCTGGTAGACGCCCTGGCATCAGGCTGCACTCGTCACTAGGCCACACGTCAACGACTGCACGCGGCGATCTTCCACGACTAAGGCATAAGTGGCATAAGTAAGTCGCAAGTCGACGTCTTGCCTGCGCAGAATCGTAGTGCCACTCCGCCTGGCCACCGCAAGCACTGGAACTGCAGCTTGAGCCATGTTTGCTCCTTCTCGCTTTGCAAGACCTACCATTCCTCGAGGTCTGTTCATATAACCTCACGTGCTAGTTGTGCTTGGAACAAGAAGTTGGGAAGGCCGATGAAGGAAGTCAACCCAGGCGGTGTAATGTCTGCCCAACAACAGCGAAACTGCAGTCACTTTTGCAAAAAATGCTGCACAGTGGGTTGGGAAGCCTTACAGCAGCATTTGCAAACGGTTTTGAATAGCCAAACTGCAAGGGCGCATGGGCTTGGGAAGGCAATTTTGGGACGGTTTTATAGTCACTGTCCCAAAACCATGTGCACAGTACTATAAGACCCCAAAACCCAAGGTCTGATGCAATATACGATCTGTTGGGGGTATTGGAAAGCAAGCCCAAACCCTGCGGCACATTGGCGTGGCACGACTTCACCCCAACAGGGTCGACGTAAACCTACTGGAAATAGGGTTTCGGCTCTAATGTTTCTCTCCTGGCCTCCATCTTGAACTCCTCAGCATTCACATTGAGTCCGTTCGTCGGCTCCTGGCACGAACGCAAGTAGAGCTGGCTAAGCATGCCATGAGACGAGTTGTCAAAACCAGGGATGATTTTGAAATCTGGCTCTGTGATATGCAGCTTTAGCTGGATTCATCTCTGATCGGATAGGAGTTGCAAGCAGGTCAACAACAAAACTCTGGGGTACCGATGGGTGCGTTATGAAACGAACGCTGTGATGGCCAGCTCTGAAGCCCGTCCATGCAAACGAAAAAGATCACAATTGGCATGTATGGCCAAGTAGAGCTTCTAGACAGCAGAATAGCTGGATTTCAGACGGCGGAATAGAAAGGTGGAGTGGTGCACATTCATGCTGCCAAAAGCCACAATCATTCAAGCTCGCTCTCTCCCATCTGTTGGCAAGATCTTGCAGTGCTGAGTTTTGCCGGCTCTGTTGCAGTGGCTTAAGCGGCTTAGGGGATCTTCAAGGCCCCGGGCCAAAGCCAGAAGGTGATTGAACCGCTGGTGCCTTCGTCCAGACCACTTCGACTGAGTATGCCTGGGACCGCATCCCCTAAGACATCCCAAGACCCTGGTCAGTTTACGCCGCACACGCTTTACAGCTGGTCAAACATTTACGCGTTTGTCAAGTTTAGCCCTTCTCCGCGGTAGCACTTGATACATGAACCACTCCTGCGGGTTGGCTTGAAAACGCTGCGTTTCAAGACTGGTGAAGGGGGCCCTCCCACATGCTGGAGGTCCTGGGCTTGTGCTGCCAAAGACAACCGACTCATTAGAGCACTTCAAGGCTGTTCGGTTTCCCAACCTGCCTCTGTGCTGGTAGGCATGCCAGGTGCTTCCTTCACGCAGCAACGATCTCTGAATCTAGCCCGTTACGCCGCTCACGAAACTAAAAGCGCAAAAACAATGTGCCGGTCGTGGGGTCGCATTCCATGGACTCAACGCCTCAACCCTTCGTGAACGCCCCAAAGTGCCTGCCATGCATCGGTTGAGCTCTGGCCCTGGCCTGCCTCCCACGACCCCTGCCGCAACAGTGCGCCCAGCGCGGGGTCGATTGTGGCAGCCAAATGCTTCCATATTCTATTCCATATTCTATTCCACTCCATTCCATTCTACTCTATGCTGCACTCATTCACTTTGATAATGGCTCTGGCGACAAGCAGTACAGGTGTCAGAAAACTCTTGATGATTGGCGGCATCAGCTTCCAAGCTAGCTTTTCTAAATCACAAGCCTTTGCCAAAGCATCGTGGGAGAGGGTGGCCATGGCAATGTGTAGTCCAAACACGCTTGGAGACACCGCCTCATGGGTCTCGTCAAACCATCCTTGCACCTGCAGCTCAGGAGCCTAGGCTTGTGAAGGCAAAAACTTACTTCAGAGCAAAAAAAAAAAAAAAAACACAGAATGCGAAAACACAAGATCACTTGCCGAGGCCGGAGGCCTCAGGCGTTTAGATCCAGGTCTAGAGAGCCTTCGAAGAGTCTCCCACCCCCCGCCCTCCCAGGGCGCCCCGACTGGCAATGTGTTTCCGTTTCCGGCCAAACTTTTGGGCCGGAATGGGTACGACTCCAACCGATCAGTGTCCAGCCGCGAACGACGTCCCGGGGACCAGGGCTGTGAAAATCTGTGATTTTTTGAGCCCCTGCCCACAGCTGCGCCACTGTTCGACACCCCTGAAGCGCACCCTGGCGCCCCATAAGCCCCGCCCGTCTGCATTTGCCTCGGTGCCCTTGCCGAGGTCGCGTTAGCGGTTAAATTAGGATGCCATATAAAAATCAGAACCTGTTCAGAGCAACAGTCTCGTTCGCGGGCCTCCGTCTTCTTGACGATCTTGAAGGCATTGAGAGGTTCAAATTCCTCAGCCGCTTTGCTTGCTTGAGATTTCGGCTTTCCTCGCAAAAAATCTCAGGGTCCTCAGAATGTTTTATGGGCTCCCCTACTACCCCATCCCCCCCTAGGTTCCCCCCACAATTCATGAATGTTGCACTGGCCAGTCTAAGCTTGGTGCCTGCGCTTCCAAGGAGAAGAAATGCCATCCGCCCTCTGGCGGATCGTGCGACTCACCAGCCCAAGCATAGACCTAACAGAGCCTACGAGCATGCAACGCTAATATATTGCAGGCCCTGCACTCCGAAACAACTTCAAGCCATCAGAGCTGCGGCCGCGGCAATATCCCCTCCGAGAGCGGGCCCGATGTACCAGCCTTTGAAGTCGTCAGGTTACGCTCAGGTTACGCTTGGAATCAACAAGACATGACGAAGTGGGGGGCTGTGGGGACTAAGCACAGCGCCCTTTGATATACCCTCTTCGCCATAGTAGTAGAGGTGCAAGGTGCTGCCGTCGTCCTGGCACCTGTCACGCTCTCCGGTCTCTGGAAGTGGAAAAGTGCCGTCCATGCAGTCACCTTTTTAATGTAGCCCATGGCCACGATTGGTTCCACATGAAGCACCTCAAGTATCACAGTGTCTATGCTTGTGCTAGACTGCTCTGATGATCGAGTGATGTGCGGCAGAACCTGGCGAATCCAGAAGCAAGTATGCCAAGCAATCTCGGCCGGCCGGACTCAGTCCGTTGATAGACTTTGCATCCATAGAAAGATCCTTGCTCTGCATACTCGCCAAGAATTTTCCTGCACAGGGGAGGCTCTTATGGATGCCAGCATGTGCTTCCTGAAGAAGAGGACCCTTAAGCCATAAGGCCTTCACCCAGATATTCGAGGTGTCACCCCTGCTCGAAACCGGGCGGGCTCCTGGCTTGATGCTCAGGTTTGACGGCATTGAGGTCATCGTCGAGGGATGCGACGTAAGCCTCTCAAAAGGCCATCGGTCGCGTTGCCAGTGCTAGCTTCTGGACTTCTGCAAGGATCACGCAGGCCCACTACGTACCTCCCAAGCCGGACTTCTCGGAATCGCTATACATGACGTCCGATATACAGGCGATGTCCAACGTCCAAGTCACGCCGCGAAAGAGTAGCCCAAATACAGCACTACCATGTATGACTGCTTGTTCGCTGCATCCGTTCACACGCAACACAATAAAGCGTGTCCTACTCCAAAGGATAAAAACCACTGTTGCTGGGGGGCACAGCATGCCTTCCCAGCTTCTTGATTATGGCGGTGGATACAAGCCCGGGTCTTCTGCATGAAAAGCGGAAATACTAAGCACTATGCTACAGCGGATCTGCTCAAAAGAAGGCGCGTGAGGCCTCCTTGGCAGAAGAGCCCACATTCCAGTTTGCAGCATCCTGACATTGAGCCAGAACTGTATTTATGTCTACAACAGAGCAGACACACAACGCTTCTGCATGCCCTTGCTACACGATTTGGCCACAAGCCGTGCTCGCCCTGTGAGCTTCCCGCAGGCGATGCAAGATCGAAGTCGACAAGCAATTGAAGTGCCAATAGTATCGGCCCTTCTCCAAGGGCCCATGTGCCAACCTCTCCTAGACACACTTAAACACCACCCGACTCGGCTCAAGAAGGTTGTTCCTTTTCCCCAAACGCCTTCGGCCTAGGGCCTCGCCTTAACAACCTTGCACGAATTGGAGCATGACAGCGTTGTCGTCTGCAATGCTCCGCGCCTCCCAAGATTGGTCGTTGTCATATTGGTCGTTCTGCCACTCAGCCTGGTGCTCTGGCGAAGGTTGTATCGTCTGCATTGGCTTGTTCGACTTGAACTTCATGGATCAATGGGTCAAGAATTCATTTAAGCATTGTTGATTATCTGGGTACTTTTTGTCTTTCTTGTCTTGTATTATTACACATTACCACATAGAAATCAATGACCCCCGTGCGTGTTGCAACTTGCGATGATCCGCACGGTGTTGCCGCGTCCCTTGTGACATTCTCGTGTCTGCGCTGTGAGCGTTTCAGGGCCTGGAGACACTAAAAGGCGGTCGAATCGTTCGCCTGGATCCCGTCTTCATGTCGGAACAGTGGCAGGGGACACACTTGCTCGCCCTGAAAATTGGGGGGGGGGGGGAAGGGTGGGCCGGCGCCCCCTATTTGCAACACAATGCTCGCTTGATGGGTTTGGAAAAGACTCATCTGCTTTGGAAGCAAGCTTGCGTGGCTTAAAAAGTGGGTGGGTTGGCCAACACAGTGTTCGCATGATGGCTATGGAAAGGATACATATGCTTTGGAAGCAAGCTTTCAACTTTCACAGTTCAAAAAACTGGGAGGTTGGGGCGGGCGCAGACCGCCCCCCCCCAATTGCAAAAACGCTCTACTACTGTTGCCTCTCTCATTTCAAGTCTTTGTCGGGTCTGTGATACCTGCAGTTCAACTTTCTACCAATCTTGCAAGATCTGGGTTTTGCTTTTGGGGGGGTTAGTGCTTCAGGTCCTGCGTTTGCTCTGTACGGCGTTGGCTCATTCCTTTCAATTCGTTTACGCCCTTTTTGTGTTTGGCTGCTACGAAACTTGCAAGATCTGGGCCTTGCTTATCGGGGGGTTAGTGCTTCAGGTCATGTGTCTTGCTCTACTACTGTGTTCCCTTCTCTCATTTCAATTATTTGTCTCTGTGTGTTCTGCAGTGCACGAAACTTGCAGATTTGCGTTTTGCTTCTGGGGGGGGTTTGTGCTTCAGGCCATGTGTTTTGCTCTACTACTGTATGGCCTGTCTAACTTGAATCCTTGAATGTGTTCTTTGTCAATGAGTTTTCGTTTCGCGCCCACATGACTCGTGCTTTTATTCTGAGATTCAGCAAGCACAATGGGGACTTTAACAGGGAAGTCGTTTACAGTGGACCCCAAAAAGAAACAAAAGAAACCGCGAAACCCGCCTGATTGGCGTGGTTGTCGATGACATCCTGAACGGCCACAACCCTAAACCCTAAACCCCAAACCCTGACAACGGCGACAACTTGTGAGAACCGGCCCGTGCCTTGAGCGTTGCGTCTACGTCCTGCTTTGTGGCCTCGAGCACGCCAAGAAGGTACTCGTGGCCCCACTGGAGGTCCTGCATTCTATTGGTGTTGCCGGTATTAGTTAGTAGTACTTTTGCTATTACTATTATCATCACTATTGTTATTACTATTGTTATTGTTATTATTATTGTTGTTATTATTGTTATTGTTAATATTATGTTTATTCGTATTATTAGTATTAGTTGTTATTCGTGTTATTTTTATTGTTATATTCTGATTATTAGTATTGCTACTATTATTATTACTACGATTAATAATAATACTACTATTATGCCCATGCGGCCCATGCAGCCATGCCGTATCAGTATGAACTGTGGGGGCATCTTGCAGTTCTCCTTCCAGTTGGACCGGTTCACAAAGGTAAACGCATAGCCCGTGTTGCCAGCGCGGCCGGTGCGGCCCACCTGCACGATGAACCTAGCGTAACCTACACCAAACCTGAACTGCGCCCAGTCATTCAACACATTTCAACACCCTAAGACTGAAGCCAAGGCGAAGCTTTGTACATAACTTCACTCCACAAGATGTTCAGTACCAGGGCAGCGCATGCATTGCCCGTGATGCACGTAGGCGCTCATTGAAGCGCTCATTGAAGACTCTCTTGTTATCTCTGATACTGTCCCGGCCCTGTGGATGTAATCTTCCGCCATCTTTGGCATGTCGTAGTTGATGACATACCTCACCTGGCAGCATGTGCCCAATGAAAGCTGCATGGAACTGCTGGTCGTGCAGCCGTGGAGTCAAGAAATGCACTGCCCTTGGCCTTTGGGATGTCGTGCCCGCGTGCAAGGACTCCAGTCGCGATAACGCAGGGCCTAGCACGAGAAGCCAGCAGGATTAAGCAAATACACTGAATGTTCCCTAAACCGTAAACCCTTTAAACCCTGAACCCTAAAACCTAAAGCCTAAACCCCTTTCGGCAATTTCGGTCTCAGAGCACAGGACTGCACAGATTGACTACGGAGAGCTGCATTGGGATGCAGCGCATTGACTTAGGGCAGATGCCAAGACACTCCCATCTATCTCGACACGGAGTCGCGTGGAGCTCATGGAGTCATGAAGTCTATTCAGGCGTTTTGGGTTTAGCGTATAGGGTTTAGGGTAGGCAAGAACATTCAGAGTTAAGGGATGTAGGGTGTAGGGTTTAGGGGTAAAGAACACCCAGAGCACCCTCATTGAGCTCCAAGCAAGGAACCATCGCGGAACTGCTCCATGGCCTTGGCCCCCGCCCCCACTCGCCCCTGCCACACCCCTCCACCCGCACACATCTTGCTCAGTTCTGAGGGCTCCGCCCAGTCGCGGTCCTTCTGCAGCATGTCGCCGTGCAGCTCGCTCACCTCCAGACGGCTTAAGGCAAAACAGCCCTGCACAGCCCACACATTGCGCATCATTGCGCCAGGTGGCGAGGAGGTCGTTGTTCTCATTGTAGCAAAAGTCTTCCTGCCAAAGCTTGTCCTTGAGGCTCTGGACGCCAGCACGGCTCCTGGCCATTCAGGACCTAGCTGCTGCTCAGTTTAGCAGTGTGTTGCTGTCTCGCCCTGCCTGCAGAAAATGATGCACTTGTCGGGCCACTCATCTTCTGGGGTAGCAGCCTTTCGGAAGATGTTCATCCTCAAGTTGCGCAAGCATTACAGTCAATACTGCAAGAGCCCACAGTCGGTTCCTCATGATCGTGATGCTAGGGCCCACGCTCCTGCAGCTTCTCTTTCAGGCTTTCGTACTTGGCCTCATCTCGAAGTACCCGCCCAAAGTCCCCGACTGCATAGTCCAGCCCGAACGGTCCCAAACCACGATTCAGGATCTGGTGCCCTTCAACAAAGCAATATGGGCCGAACCTAAGCCAAGCCTTTAAACAACAACTCTTTGGCCAAACCTGTTTCTTTGCATGTCACTGAGCTGTGCGACTGCGGACAGACTTCAGAAGTAGGCCCCACTTTTTGCAGCACCCAAGCAACCCTATTTGGGGGTTTCCGAAATCAGGGGTACCTTATTGGGGTCCTTATTATCCGCCGACCCCAGCCGGGGGCGGCGTCAGTGAAGACCCATTGCCCCTACCACCTACTCCACCCCATCCAAAGCTCTGGCCCATGTTCCCACTCTCCATCCCCTTGACCTACCCCTCATGGACCCAGCTCCCTACCCCTTACCCCTCACGCACCCTGCCCCGCCGCCCATGCCCCTCATGGACCCATGGGTTCTGGCCCCACGGCTCCCCTCCGCCCCTACCCCCACCACCCACGCACCCGCTCCCCGCCCATCCGCCCTTCCCGCTCCGCATACATTCCCCTTGCCCAAGCCCCCCACGCACCCCGCCATGCTTTTCATGGACCCATGGCTCCTGGTCCTATTCTTCATCCCTTGAGTTGCTCCACCCCCACCCGCAACCCCCACCTCCACCCCGCACGCACCCTGCCCCGCCGCCCGTGCTTGTCATGGGCCCCTTGCTCCTGGCGTCATGGCTCCACCCCCACCCCCAACCCCCACCCCCACACACCCCACCCTTTCCCCCACCCCAACCCCCACGCACCCGGCCCCCCCACTGGACCCATGGCTCCTGGCCTGGTCCCATTCTTCATCCCTCGACCTGCATGGCTGCCAAGCACCCCATCCCCCACTGGACCCATCCCCTTGACCTACCCCTCATGGACCCAGCTCCCTACCCCTTACCCCTCACGCACCCTGCCCCGCCGCCCATGCCCCTCATGGATGCATGGGTTCTGGCCCCACGGCTCCCCTCCGCCCCTACCCCCACCACCCACGCACCCGCTCCCCGCCCATCCGCCCTTCCCGCTCCGCATACATTCCCCTTGCCCAAGCCCCCCACGCACCCCGCCATGCTTTTCATGGACCCATGGCTCCTGGTCCTATTCTTCATCCCTTGAGCTGCTCCACCCCCACCCGCAACCCCCACCCCCACCCCGCACGCACCCTGCCCCGCCGACCGTGCTTGTCATGGGCCCCTTGCTCCTGGCGTCATGGCTCCACCCCCACCACCCCCACCCCCACACACCCCACCCTTTCCACACTTCCAACCCCTACCCCCACCCCCCACGCACCCCGCCCCCCCACTGGACCCATGGCTCCTGGCCTGGTCCCATTCTTCATCCCTCGACCTGCATGGCTGCCAAGCACCCCGTCCCCCACTGGACCCATGGCTCCTGGCCCCATTGGCTCATGGTCCACGGCCCATGATGTAGCTTCTCAGCTGACTTTAAAGGGCCCCAGTGCATGCCCGGGCCCTCCGCCCGCTCCACCCGCTCCGCCCGCTCCCCCCTCCCCCGCCTACTCACTCTCCTTTGGCCCATGCTCCTTTCTCCATCCCCTTGACCTACCCCTCATGGACCCAGCTCCCTACCCCTTACCCCTTACGCACCCATGCCCCTCATGACCCATGGCTCCTGGCCCCATGGCTCCCCATTCCTTGTGGTCCACGGCCCAAGCAGGTGGCTTCTCCGCCCCTACCCCCACCACCTCTACCCTTCCCGCTCCGCATACTCCCTCCCCTAAGCCCCCCACGCACCCCGCCATGCTTCTCATGGACCCATGGCTCCTGGTCCCATTCTTCATCCCTCGACCTGCATGGCTGCCAACGCTGGTCCGAAAAATGGCCCCTCACCCCCAACCCCCCCCACCCCGCACGCACCCTGCCCCGCCGCCCACGCTTGTCATGGACCCATGGCTCCTGGCCCCATGGCTCCACCCCCACCCCCAACCCCCACCCCCACCCCCACCGCCCCATTGGCTCATGGTCCACGGCCCATGAATGTGGCTTCTCAGCTGACTTTAAAGGGCCCCAGTGCATGCCCGGGCCCTCCACCCGCTCCGCTCGCTCCGCCCGCTCCGCCCTCCGCCCTTCCAGCTCTGCCACTCTCCTCTGGCACCCATGCTCCCACTCTCCATCCCCTTGACCTACCCATCATGGACCCAGCTCCCCCCATGCCCCTCATGGACCCATGGCTCCTGGCCCCATGGCTCCCCATTCCTTGTGGTCCACGGCCCAAAGCTGGCTTCTCCGCCCCTACCCCCACCACCTCTGCCCTTCCCGCTCCGCATACTCCCTCCCTTGCCCAAGCCCCCCACGCACCCCGCCATGCTTCTCATGGACCCATCCCTCGACCTGCATGGCTGCCAACGCTGGTCGGAAAAATGGCCGCTCACCCCCAACCTCTCCCACCCCGCCCTGCCCCGCCGCCCACGCTTGTCATGGACCCATGGCTCCTGGCCCCATGGCTCCACCCCCACCCCAAACCCCCACCCCCACCCCCACCCCCACCGCCCCCACCCCCACCCCCCACGCACCCCGCCCCCAACTGGACCCATGGCTCCTGGCCCCATTGGCTCATGGTCCACGGCCCATGGATGTGGCTTCTCAGCTGACTTTAAAGGGCCGCAGTGCATGCCCCGCTCCGCCCGCTCCGCCCTCCGCTTCCAGGCCTACTCCCCTCTGGCCATGCTCCCACTCTCCATCCCCTTGACCTACCCTCCCTTACCCCTCACGCACCCATGCCCCTCATGGACCCATGGCTCGGCTCCCCATTCATTATGGTCCACAGGTGGCTTCTCCGCCCCTACCCCCACCACCTCTACCCTTCCCGCTCCCATGGCTCCTGGTCCCATTCCTCATCCCTCGACCTGCATGGCTGCCTTACTGGTCCGAAAAATGGCCCCTCACCCCCAACCCCCCCCGAAAAATGGCCCCTCACCCCCAACCCCCCCCACCCCGCACGCACCCTGCCCCGCCGCCCACGCTTGTCATGGACCCATGGCTCCTGGCCCCATGGCTCCACCCCACCCCCACCGCCCCATTGGCTCATGGTCCACGGCCCATGAATGTGGCTTCTCAGCTGACAAAGGGCCCCAGCGCATGCTCCGCCCGCTCCGCTCGCTCCGCCCGCTCCGCCCTCCGCCCTTCCAGCTCTGCCTACTCCCCTCTGGCGCCCATGCTCCCACTCTCCATCCCCTTGACCTACCCCTCATGGACCCAGCTCCCTACCCCTTACCCCTCCATGGCTCCCCATTCCTTGTCATCCACGGCCCAAAGCTGGCTTCTCCGCCCCTACCCCCACCACCTCTGCCCTTCCCGCTCCGCATACTCCCTCCCTTGCCCAAGCCCCCCACGCACCCCGCCATGCTTCTCATGGACCCATGCCTCGACCTGCATGGCTGCCAATGCTGGTCCGAAAAATGGCCGCTCCCCCAACCTCTCCCCCGCACGCACCCTGCCCCGCCGCCCACGCTTCCCATGGCTCCTGGCCCCATGGCTCCACCCCCACCCCAAACCCCCACCCCCACCCCCACCCCCACCCCCACCCCCCCCCACGCACCCCGCCCCCCACTGGACCCATGGCTCCTGGCCCCATTGGCTCATGGTCCACGGCCCATGGATGTGGCTTCTCAGCTGACTTTAAAGGGCCGCAGTGCATGCCTGTGCCCTCCGCCGGCTCCGCTCGCTCCGCCCGCTCCGCCCTCCGCCCTTCCAGCTCCGCCTACTCCCCTCTGGCCATGCTCCCACTCTCCATCCCCTTGACCTACCCTACCCCTTACCCCTCACGCACCCATGCCCCTCATGGACCCATGGCTCTGGCCCCATGGCTCCCCATTCATTATGGTCCAGAGGTGGCTTCTCCGCCCCTACCCCCACCACCTCTACCCTTCCCGCTCCCAAGCCCCCCACGCACCCCGCCATGCTTCTCATGGACCCATGGCTCCTGGTCCCATTCCTCATCCCTCGACCTGCATGGCTGCCAATACTGGTCCGAAACATGGCCCCTCACCCCCAACCCCCCCCACCCCGCCCCGCCGCCCACGCTTGTCATGGACCCATGGCTCCTGGCCCCATGCCTCCACCCCCACCCCAAACCCACACCCCCACCCCCACCGCCCCATTGGCTCATGGTCCACGGCCCATGGATGTGGCTTCTCAGCTGACTTTAAAGGGCTGCAGTGCATGCCCGGGCCCTCCGCCCGCTCCGCTCGCTCCGCCCGCTCCGCCCTCCGCCCTTCCAGCTCCGCCTACTCCCCTCTGGCGCCCATGCTCCCACTCTCCATCCCCTTGACCTACCCCTCATGGACCCAGCTCCTTACCCCTTACCCCTCACGTCTGCACGCTGCGAGGCGTAGCCACCCGAAGGGGCTGTGGGTTCAAGTGAAACAAAAGCTTACTAAAACTGTGGGGTGAAACTGCCGGTAAGTTCCCCCTCTCATTCCTTGTCCTCGGTTTTGACGTACCGCTACCCTCAACCGAAGTGAGGCCGGAATGTCGTTTTGACCAAGTCGTTGCCATTGGCTTGAAGACTTTGGCCAAGGCAAATTGCCTGTATGCTTGCACATTCTTTGTGTTGTCTATTCGGGAGGTGATCCATGCCCTCGTTCGTGGAGGCCGCTATCCCTCAACCGAATGGAGGTCAATTCCTGTAGACCCAGATGCTCGTTCTACGAGTCTCATTGCATGTCCTGAGTGCTTCCATCCACACCCCTCAACCGTAGTGAGGCCGGACATGTCTTCAAACCAGGTCATGGCCCGAGGCTTCATGGACTCTGGTTACGGTGGCTGCCTCTTGCATGCACAGGGCATACTTCCTGTGGCTTTTGCCGGGAGGTGATCCATGCCCTCCGATTCTCAGCGGCCGCTATCCCTCTACCAGCGGGGTGGTCAATCCCCATAGACCGTTCCATATTGATTGAGGCCCAATTCTGCACTTTCTCGTCATCTCACCTTGACGGATC